ATTTAAATAGGACTCGTCCATTCATTTACTTACATATATGATAATATCAATAATAATTGTTGTTGTTATTATTATATTTAGTTGGTTTGTGTCTAATTAAATTAAATCCATAAATTTCTAGAAGATTTTAATTTTTGACCAATGCCATTATTAAATGTAGAAACAATTATTGCAAAATTTAAATTGCTTAGCTAAATTTAAGCTCTCTAATTATATAAACATTTGTTTTTTCATAAAGTTTTCTCATCAATATTCCATTAACTATTTTTGGACTTATTTTTAACACGAGAATTCTTTATTTTAATTCCATAGATACTGAAAAATTTAGTGGATAGATATAAATTGTTATTGAAGCAACAATAAATCAATGAAAATTTTATACAATAGATTTTAATGAATTATCATTAATGTAACAATTTTGTTCTAATACCATGAAGCAAAAAATCCAACTTATTTATCAATATAAAAAAAATGTTATTAATATTGTATTTTTGTTTATTTCTTATTTCTTAATAATAATAAAAGAGTCACTGAACTTCATTCAAAATCAATTAATCGAAAAATCAATAAATCAATTAATGATTAATCTATAAGATAAAAAGTTGTGTGTTTTTGTAATTTCATTTCTAAATAATTTATACTTATTTCGAATTATTGTTTATATAAAGTAAATCTACTAAAGTATATCGATATTAAATAATTACGAACAATTTAACGAACACTTAAAATGTTAAAAATAGTGAAAATACAAATTTGATATTTATAAAAAAATTCTAAAGTATGAAATTATAAGCTAATCGATTAAATTATTTTTTTTTTTATATTTTTTATGTTAAATTATATCAATTTAGTGGAATGCTTTTTATGAATTACAATTTGCAGCTCCATCGGTAAATCATTATACAGAAATTTGATTAAATTACACAAATTTTATTGAAAAAAAAAGAAAAAACGATACACATTTCTTCACCTTGCGGTAAGTGAAATTATAGGTAAATATTATAATCCATATATAGATAAATTATAGGATACAATTTTGTTATTGGATTTTAATTTGCAATTTCAAATATTAATTATAAATTGTAAAAGGCCTACTCTTTTACAAATGAGACGAACCTTTTAGTACTATGTAAAAGCATTTAATCTTCATTAAAACATATTAATATAGATCAATGGCAATTTAACTACAACTAACTAACCTACAACAAATAAAAATACAGCCAATATTTAAAAAGAATATTTTTTTATAAAATAAAACTCTTCCG